AGATTGGAGTAAATAGACCACACCCGGGGGGTGTTGGCCAAAGGCCCTCCGATGCCTAAGTTAGTTCAAGTGTTTGTAGGAAAACAATAGCTAAGCGAAGGATTCGGAGTTTGTATGGTGTGAACCGGGTGGCCGGAGCCGTGTGTGGTGGCCGGAGCCGTGTGGAGAAAATATGGAGAGTGGAGAGTGGAGAGGGAGAGAGAGCTTCGGGTATTTTCTCGGGTTTTAGATGTAGGGTTTTTGAAGTACCTTGAATGATGAATGAAGTCATCTATTTATAGGAGCCTCGGGGCTAGGGTTTCGTAGCCTCGGGGCTAGGGTTTCGTAGAGATCGAGTCGGATAATATCTGAATTATCTCGTTTAATTATAAGATAATACCCGATAATTAAGATATTATCCCTTTGATAAGATAATAACTAAATTATTGATATTATCTCATTAATTATAAGATAATATCCCTTTATTATGATAATATCCCAATTAATGGTATTATCTTTATTAATTATGAGATAATACCATATAATTAAGATATTATCCTGATTAATCAATTATCCCAATAAATGGTTTAATTAATTAATTTAAGGGATAATCTTCTTTTCCACGTGGCTCGCTCTGATTGGAGACGAAAATATTTGCTCCCACAGCCTGCATATATGTTTCCTACAATAAGTGACGTAGTTGTATCCCGTTTAATCCATGGCCTAAATGGCCTATATATATGTTTCCTATATCTCGTTTAACGCAGTTTTTTATATACTAATTTTATTAGAAGCGACAATTTTTCTTAATTAATATTAATAATTATAATAATTGTATTATAAATTCATCTAATAAGATTACAGGGGACTACTAGGGTGTTTTGGTGTAGATCTAATTTGTCTAATGCACAGGACTAGACAGTGGAAACCTTAGAATGTTTTTTATTGTATGCCTAAACTTAAGGAAAGAAGCCCCTTGACGGGTTTAAAGGTTTGCTAAGATTTACTGCCCATCAGATTGTTCACTGGTATCTTGCATGATTTTTTTTATAACAGAAATAAATTACAGCGAGGATCCCAAGATTCCTATTATCGCATAATATGCATAAGCATCTTAAATTATTATGGTTGGAGAACGTCAATGTTAGGAGAAATTATAGTGGTACGAATATACATGCATTATCATTATTACAAATGCCTTTTTTCAGTGAATTCAGCATGGAAAAAGACATTTGTAAATTTGTTTTCCGAATAACATTCCTTCCATTCCAACGTTACAAGAAAGTACTGAAACAGCCTTCTCCCTGTTAGATTGATGAATATCCAAAATACCATACTGAAGATTGTGTCAATATAAAAACATGAATTCGGTAACACATTGATATATATATATGCACAAGTACAAATTATATCCCAAAACAAAGAAGAAAAACACAACTCAAGTATCCCCCACCAGCGTTCTTACACATCCACAAACGTAGCCGAAACCCTTTCCCTTCTTCTATAAGCACATTACAGAGCTTTCCGCAGGGGCCTACCAATTAGATCTAGAATCGACTTCTCATAAAATCTTGAGAAGGGTTGACACTCTAGCCTGTAATATGATCAAACAACACAAAGATTGGATTCAAGTTTTCATCTCAACTGTTTGTAGCAGCTGTAAGCAATGCCAACTGACACAGCAGCACAAACAACAGCAAAAGCTGCATACGTATCTTCACGCTCCCAGCTCTGAAACCAAGTCGGCATAGCACAAACCTTGCGCATGGATGCCCCTTTTCCGTTATTGATCCGTGAAAGTAGCTTCCTGCTGCTTTTTTTCTTGTCAGTTGTCTCCTTTGCTGCCATCTCATTCAAATCAGGACTGTTTAACTTTTCTATGAACACAGCATTCTGACAGCAAGAAGAGTTTCTATTTTCCTGGCAACATCCACCAATCTCAACTTGAGATCTACATACACTAGTATTCATTTCCCTTTCCTTTGGTTGTGTAAACTCTGTAGCGCTTTTTCCCACATTTGTCTCGCCATTAAGCTGGAGCCTTAGTTCTTGAGATTTCTTCTGCTGTTCTTCTGATAAACCCATCTGACCTCTGAAACCAGACCATATATTCCATCTCTACATAATTCCATAATGCATGCATACAATAGGAACACAAAAACTCAAACAAGAAGAGTGACCACTTTAGTAGATTTGCAGCTACTAATTTTACACACGTTAAACAAACTATTTTCTCTTTATTTTTCAATTTCTTCTTGTTCTAATCAGAATAAATTTGCACAGCCAACCACTCTGATTTAGGAACCAAAGAGGAGCTTCCTCTAAGATCATATTGTACAACTAAACATGGTTTCAACAATAGAGCCAGCACAGATATAATCTGATTCAGAATCATGAGAAAACTGCTTCAAAAGCCAGCCTATGAATTATGAGAAAGAATTGAAGATGTAAAAGGATTACCTCCATAGCCAGTCCAAAATTTCTCCTTTCCCGATATGCTGCTCAAGCAATACAGGTACATCTTCTGGAGCAACATATCCATACCTATCAGAAATAAAATGATCAGCTAACTCAAATATCACTAACCAAGTAATAGAATTTGAATTGAGTGAAAAGCTATACCTACTGACAATAATAACAGAAAAGAGAAATAAAGGTAAATGAATTAACAGACACAATTCCCCTTACCAGTGGCCAGTGACTTTTCTGTTGAAATTTGGTCCAAATATAATAACATTTCCTGCATACTCATGCTCCCCAATGTGTGAACATGGGCTAACAGACACTTTACCTTGAAGACCATGTAATTCTATCTCTTCTCTAAATCTAGTGATCAGGGGAGGTCCACAGACTCCACAACGGCGATCCCGAGACCCATGAGAACATACAAAAACATATGAACCCTTCAAAGTTTCAGGAGTACCAGGCAGCCATTCACCATCTTTCACTAGAACTTCTTCAACAAATGTATCAACATCAAAATGTGTCAATCTCCTGCAATTTTATCCCTAATTTTATTTCAGTATCAAATTTCGAAGGGGATCAAGAGTGTATGTAAAAGAATTCCAATGGAACTCGTACATGACCTGTATCGGATCATGTCGGGGAAAATTAATACATCACCATTGGATGTCTCAGTTCCATCGTGCCCTTCACATATTGTTAAGCGGGTCTAGAAGAGGAAAGAGATGAAAGAGACAAAAAAGAGTTGTTAACCTCAACCAAAATTATACATCCAATTATGGAAAAAAAGAGATAAATAAACTGGTTATGACATGCTATTTTAAGCAGCATAGAATGTGCAGCTAGTAAATCCAACTGCCAGCAATGGTCAGTAAACAACTGCATACGATTAAACCATAACAACATCACATCATTCATTCATCTGGCTACGCAACTTATCTACTACTTGTTTTCATTTCATTCCATTCATTATGAAACAAAATTCGTAGAGAATGGCAGTCTAGTGGAAAACAATTCCCACCATACCGATCCCATAATCATCAAATGCAAAGAGATTGTCACATAGAAGTAAACACAGAAGAGAATTGAAAAATTATCATGTTATAGGTCAGATCATTCTACACCATGTTTGAGACACTTTGTTGGTGTGTATCTGATAAAGTTTTGTTACATACCAACTTCCTATATTATCTTGTAAGATGCCTGGGGCTTAATCTTTTGAACTTATTTCCAAAATGATACCGTTCACCTTATTCCCTCTCCTTCAACTACATTCTAAAACCACAAGTAAACACCAAAGACCAAAAAGATTCTTCACAATAATCGCTTCTTACTATTAAAAAAGGTAAAAAATAAAATACGGATCATTGAAACTCAAAAAACCGTTGTTCAAGAACCCAAATACTTCATTCATCAACCTCAAATTTATCCATATCTAACCTCTAACAATACCCACTCTGGAATTCTGAAAATTCCACACAAGCAGACTCCAACGTTACCCCAAAAGGACACCCAAAACAAAACCCCACTAAAAGTACAAAAGGTACACCCTTCATGTTCAAGCTAATAGATACCAAATCATTCTTAGAATACAAGCAATCTAACAAACAGCGAAGATCCATTTTAATTCACCACATTCAGAAGCAACCCGCATTAAACCTGAAAGCACAAAAGCACCAAACTACACAATTCAAAAACATACGCAATCCACTCGATTGATCAAAATGTATATACAACACAGTAAATCACACACCTGGAAATAACCCCTCCAAAAACAAGCAATCCACAAAGCAAATAAAACCCATTTCAACCAACTGAATTTGAGATCAACCACAAACAAAAAATGACCACCAAATATCAAACACGCCTCCTCTAATTCAGTCCTAAAAAGCAAGCAATACCCACTTAGATTCACTAAATCAAACACCAACCGCCATCAAAACAGAAACCAAAATAAGCATACCTCTTTCTTCATATCACCCCTCCTAGCCATTACCGCGGCATAGAGCAACCTTGGCAATCGATCAAACTCTGCGGCCTCAATTCTGGGCGGCCAGACCTGAGGGTTCTTGTAGCACAAAAACACGTGGCGCTGGTAAAACTCGACGGTCCCGGCGAGTTGGCTAGTCCGAAACTCAGGGCGCGAGAACCCAAACTCGGCATCGCTGCTAGTATCAGCAAGTAAACCCTCGTTCTGGAAGCTCCCGGAGGCGCTGCCGATGTGGGAATTTGGGTCGGAGAGAAAGCTGTCAAATGGGTCAGAGATGATGATTGGCGAGGAAGACGTTGATGGGTTTGTGAATGTGAGTGAGTCGTCTCTGTCTCTGGCGCTGGCCATGGCTGTTGGTACTGAGCTTGAATTTTTTAGGGGCTGCAAAAGTTCCAGTGGTATGGGAAGTGGCGAGTGGGATGGGCTCTCAGTGAGACTTTGGTCACCGAATGGAAAATTACGACACGTGCATTTATTATTGGAATCTCTTTGATGTGCGGTATGTCTTTTTTGTTGGTGATATCTTTTCTATTTCTAACCATAGTAATCTAAATTACTCTTAATTATTTTAAATTACGGTAAAAGAGATCGAACTCTCATATACAAAGGAAATGAAAGAGAGATCGAATTCAAATACAAGAGAAGGAAAAGAGAGATCAATGTTGAATGAAAAAGAATGAGAAGAGAAATCAATCTCGGATGCAAAGAAACGAACTATTCTAACCAACTTGCCTAAACTCCATATGCAAGTTGGTTAATATAATAAATACAAGTATATGTATATAGACTTGTGTGCTTAGAAGAGGCCACGCCTGCTCATCTTGTCCGTACTCAAAATCTTTTAAGTTTTTACAATAAAAACAATAATCTTACGAACCCAGATTCAGATTTGAATAAATATAACACTGAACAAAAGTATAATCTGTAGTTGTTTAGGTGTACAATCAACTTGAACTTTAATCTTTGGCCGGAGCAAGTTATGAAAGAACCATGGTTTTGATGTAAGGGTGGATTAAAATGATAAATGGGGTGCTGGTACCTGCTGCAACCAAAAAGAATAGGGTTATTCGTAGAAATGGTCCCTCAATTATACTCGAAGTTACATTTTGGTCACTCAACTCAAATATTAGTTGCATTGGTCATTCAATTGGGTGTTGTGTTGAGGGACCATTGCTACAAATAATGAAAGCAAAAGGCTTAAATAAGTCGACACTTGATTTCTACAGCAAATCTTCAACAGATAATCCAAGAATTGTTTGTCCAATATACAAAATCACACTCTCCCTGGATTTACATCCAAGCTCATTAATTTGACAATCCTCTCTTTTTTTTTTCCCTCCACAAACAGACTAGGATCATAGAATTTTCACAAAATGCTGACACAACCAAACTTGTTCATGTCTTCAGTATTCATAGTTCCACAAAGGTCTGGGCAGAATACAAACATCAAAGGGGGTTCTCACCAGGGAGATAAGAAGGGGAACCGCCGTCAACCTGGCTCTTTTTTCTATTGAACATGCCGCTCAGATTAGGCAAAAGTGTTTTTTTAGAAACAGACGTCTTCTCTTTGTCCAATTTCCGGGCCTCAATAATTTTCGTTTGAGGGTTCTGCTTTTGAATCCTGTAATGGCGTGGGGATGATTCCACTGACATCTCTGTTTCTGCCAATATCCGTGATGCAGCTTCAGCTGCTTTCTTTTGCTCCCGTTCTCGCCACCTTCGGAGCTCTCCTTCCACTGCCTTTTTGGCTGCTTCAGCCATTTCTGCCCTCTTTTTGGCCTCCTCAGTTGCAGCCTTCATATCCTCAATTTCCTTCTGCGTTGCCTCTAACCTCTTCAAGGCCTCATTTTCACTAGCCTTCACAGCTTCCACCTGAGCCATGGCAGCAGCCACTTTCATTTCTGCTAATGTATCAGACTCCTCAACCTTTCGGCTCAAAGATTCAAACTCTTCCTTTGATATAGTGATCTTGGCACCAGACTCAGAAGTTGATGCTCGAGCAGCGTTAGTTCTCTCCGATAAAACTCTAATCTGTTCAAGGGCTCTTTCTTCAGCTGCTTTAGCCTCTTCAGCTTCTTCCAAAGCAAGTCTCAGCTTCTTCTCCGCTTCTTTTACTGCAATTTTGGTTGTTTCCGCGTCCTTCCTCAACTCCTCTGCTTTAATCTTCATCTCTTCTGCTTCCCGCCTTGCATTTTCAGTTTCCAAGGATAGCTGGTTTAGTGTAGCTATCATTTCATTGGAAGCACCTCTTGCTTGAGACTCTTCTGCTAGGCATGCTTCAAGCTCAGACTTGGTTTTCCGCAGTTTCACATGTAAATTCCCAGCAAGCGATTCTGTTTCCGCTTCCTTCTCTTTCAGTTCAGCATGCTCCTTTTTCACATTCTCAAGTTCCAACTTAAGTGCTTCAACTAAGCTTCTGAGACTGCTTTCCTCTTCTGCTACTTTATGCAGTGATTCCTTAGCATCATCCAGCTCCAAAGTGACAATTCTCACAGAATCTAAATCGGAAGCCTTTGCATTCTCCATTTGCTTTTGCAGAGCTCCAACTTCATTCAACGTTTCAGAAAGTTGCGCTTCAAGGTTTCTAGAAAGTTCTGGATCAAACTCTTTTTTCAGAGAAAGCAATTTTTTTGTTGACTCTTCCAAGGTAGCTTTATACGACTGCCTCAGGACATCCTTTTCAGCAAATATCTTCGCTTGCTCCTGCTGGGCTTCCAAAGATGCAAGCTTCACTTGCCCAATTGATTCCTGCACAGCTGAAATTTCCTTGGAGAGCTCAGTAACCCTCTCCGCATTTGCTTTGGCTGCATCTTCAGCTTCTGCTGCCTGCTTGAAAGCAGTAACTTTTGCTTGCAAGGATGCATCACAGTCCTGACGGATTTTCTGTAACTCCTGCTTTGCAGAATTAAGTTCAGTAATCACATTCACATACTGTGCTCTTGCTGTTTCCAAGTCTTGTTTCCAAGCACCATCAGTTCCAGCAAGGTTGCCAGAGTTTGCTTCTTCAAGTTGCTTTGCCTGACTTTTTGCAGCTTCTGTTGCCTTTATTGCAGATTCCTTAGATTCACTGAGGGAAGTCACCTTATTTGTCAGATCCTCAAGAGTTTCCTTAGCTTTTTCAAGCTCCACAAGTGCTTGGGTTTTTGTAGTTTCAGCATTCTTCAGTTGTTCCTTCAACTTGTTCAATTCTTTCTGGGCCAGGTGAAGCTGCGTCTCGTTGGCTAGTACTCTCTGCATTGAAACATCACACCAAAAAAACACAGGATATTAGAAGAGCATGCATTGACCAAACAGTTGTTGCATTATAATGAGTAGAATTTCTGTGGTAGTTAATAACCTCACAATGATGAAGAGTTCCAATTAATCAGAGATTGAATGGAATATTACACGAGTGAGATAATCATTCACATCCATAGCTACAAATATACAACTTCCTTGTAGAAGTCGCTTCCAAACTAAATAAATACTCATGGAAGGTGGAAATATTGAGTTCACACAATTTGGAAGGTCAACTTCAGTACATGCATTGAAATTACAGAACATGCAAACCATCTATGACGTACCCAACAAAATTGCTACAGAATAACCTTTGCTAACCGTTTCAAACAATAAGCTGTTTTTTTTTTCTGGTTAAAAAAGATCTCTAGCTTATTTGAATTTTAAACGCAGAGAAAATGTATGTTCACTACCATCAGCTTCCCAATAACTTGTGGAAAACAAATAAAATCAACCAACAAGTGAAGCAAAATATACTTTCCAATTGTCAAATATAGATATAGACGTGTGCTTCCTAAATTGAAGAGTAAGGAATCAGAAATACCTCTGCTGAATGAGGCTTTGTCTTCTTAATGGCAGGTTTTTCCCCAGAGAATGCGCCTTCTCCAAATAGCGTAACAGCATCTTTAACAGATTGGAAAGGTGCCCTTGTGTCGATCTCTCCCACCTCCACTTTAGGACTAGGAGAGCTTGTAGCACTTTGGCGGTCTTTTGCAACCATACTGCTCTGTTTTATTATAGTTCAACTACTCGCTGAAAATGGAAAACATATTTTTACAAAATGATGTTAGGGAAAGGAGAAATGAGGATTACCAAAAGCGGCCAACCCCACATGTCTAGCAACTTAACATGTAATTCAACAAAATACTCATTAGTTTTCATACAAACAGTAAAGGCAAGGCATACGGCCTCATAAGACATGATTACAAGGGTCAAAAAACAGATTAACATAAGAAATGGCCTAAAATTCCCAAGAGGAGCTTTGAAATTTTAAAGAAACTCACAATCTAAGGCAAGGGTTGATACTAATAACCCATGCAGAGTCCAAGTTTCATTAACTGAGGCCTTCTCAAACCTTTTGCAGCTATGTAATACCAAACGGGAATGCTGCAACATATCAATTTAAAACTTGGCCTTCATTATGGCACCAGTATGAAGTATGACTCAATTCTACAGAAGCCTTTCGATACAACACGTTCACACACTCAAGCAAGGGGAAGAAAAGTCAGTCTTTCACACCCATAACCCTAAACTTGAGACTGCTCTTCTTCACAATACACCCAGTTCCACCACCCAAAAGTCCCACCACTTCTCATCACCTCACAAATAAAAGAATCCTACAAAATCCATCTCATAAGGTCTCAAGTGCATCCAGCACCACATTAATGTTCCGTCATATTCAGAAGAGTTGTAAAAAGGTTAACGATGGCATAGCCAATTAGTTAACATGAAAAACCCACCAATACCAGTTATAAGACAGTCCACACTATGGGTGAAACTCACCCTTTTTGTCTATAATCTCAAAAAGGCCACAAATCCAATTTTCCCATTGACGCACCATCTTTGTCGTTTCATTACAGACATTGGATGCACATACGAAATTCTATAGACATTAAAATGGGGCAATTAAATTTTGACACGATCATTTAACAGGCCCTAGACATTTTTCCAAAACTACTTCCCAGAGTTCTGAAAATGAATAAACAACGGAAACCCATGAAAAGAAAGAGAGATAGAATTCACTTTTCATAGTACAATCTAACAAGCCTTGGCGACGGTTCACCACAACTGGTTCAATGATTTAGAACTAAATTTATAAATATTCAGCAAACGACTTTAATCATGATACATCTATACCTTTTATGACAACCAATCCTTCAAGAAATGGGCCCAGATACTTAACAACTCGTCATTTCTAATAATGAAATAGTCCTTACAAAATTCAAGTAAAAAACGCTGTCTTGAAACTAAAAAACAAATTTAAAAGGTACCAAAATGATAAATATAAAAAAACTCTTAGATTTCTTTACAATTATTCAGCGAAGAATCAAACAATAATGCCATCAAACAAAGCTGAAAAAGAGGAATTTGAAAAGCGGCAAAGAATCAAGAAAAGAGGTGAAAGTTGCTTACCCAGAAACCCTAATCAAAGCCACACAAATCTACGCACCACAAACCCTAGAAATCACCAGAGCTC